TGAACTTCGGCAGAAGATAATCCAAGGCTGGACGAAAATGTGCCGAGGCATTTGCCTCAGGTCACTCTTGGCCGTCTCCGGAGTCTTCGACCGGTCCGCTTCAGAACTTGTAGTCTATATCCTGTGTTGTTTCTGTTTCATGTGATGAACACCTTGAATCGTTTGCCTAGGCATGATCCATAATTCCTGGTCTGTGCTCTACCCAGTTACTAAAGTTGAACCTGTAGTGCCCAGATTGTAGTACTGTAGTCAGAGCGCTTGCAGTCTATTGAGGGTCTGTGTAGGAAGCCAAGACACAAACGCTATCGTTTGAAACGTGCCGTAGCGTCCGTGTAAAGCTGATACGTCTGAAATGTTTTGTTGCTTCATGTGTGGCTTGACATCTGTCCTTTTCATTCACAGTCTGGACCGTCGCAAACTTAGGTTTCATGCACATGGTAGACTTCGTCTGTTATATGCTCTGTCTTCGGTGTAGAGCTGAAACTGCCTGAAATCCTTTGGACTACATCTGATAATTGACGGTTGATCTTTCACAGCCCCATCTGTGAAGTTGTAATCTGAACTGATATCTCTATACAGCGGCGATATATTTATGCTACCCATTTAATAATGCCATGGCTTCGCGGGTGAGCTACCTATGCTAGAGTTGTACATATACATACGTTGTATATACCGTAATTGCCAGTTCATCTTTCTCGCCTGAAGTCTAACCGGTTTCATTCAGAGAGCAGATATATTCAAAGTCAACGTACAAACGTTTTCCTCATTTCCGGCAGAGTTAGTAATGGCTGTAAAGTCGATCCATAGTCAGTGACAGAGGAAGATCGATTCTTCTCGCGCAGACATAGCTGTTGCCTTCCGCAGTTAAATCCGTGCAAAGCCAAAGCACAAACATTAAACTCGTATGCTTGTTGTAACTTTGCTATAAAGCTCTCACTCTCTGTACTCTGACACAATCTGAGCTTAATCTTTTCCAGCTGTAATCAGTAACTTTGCGCGAATTTCTTGCTTTGCTGGTGAATGTTTTTTTGTAGGGAGGTCTCATTCGTTATTGTTTGCGTTTGTTGCGTTGCCTCAGCTTCATGGTGTTTAAGTTTTGATTAAACCATCAAAGCATGGTCTCTGTTGTTTGTTGGTGTAACACAGTCATCTTTTAGGGGTGCGAGGCCGACGTATGAAATAATCGATTTTATCCATCCAATTTCTGATGGACGTCTGTAGTTCGAACGAACCTCTTTACGTACCCGTGATGCCATGTCGAGAAGTCGCACCACAAACCGACGTTAATTTCAACAGCCCTGGCCATCGCTCTTCGCAGGATGGTTCATTTATACAGGTGAGTT